TGATTGTACTTTTAATGTTACAGTTTTTACTTTTTTGATTGTAAATGGTGCAGAGGAAATCTAGCAGCTATTTGATAAAGGGAAAGCTTCAGATATTTGCACATTGTAATGGGATGGATCTCTTATTGGCTGCGTGTTTGGGAGGAAGAAGGCTACAGGAAGATTTTGTACCCATCCAAATTTGCTGCAACCATTTCATATGTTGTTTTTAAAGCTGATTTTGCTAAACTCATGTGATGAAGCTTGAAGCCAGAAGCTAATCTTAAGGGAAAGGGTTTAGTATTTTGTACAATACTGGTTTTAAGGTGTAGATTCAACTTTCAACTTCTATTGGATGATTTCATGATCTGGGAACATGGGTTTCTGTTGGATGAAAATGAGAATTAAATTTTTTGGCCATCTCTTGTCGTTATTAGGTGAAATTATTATCTTTCAGTGTCATTTTTGTTGATCTAAGGACAAATTCATTATTTTATTAGGCTGAAATTTTCCCATCTTAAGAAATCAAAAGATTTAGGATGAATTTCCTTTTGTTTCACAAGCCAAATAGATTTACTTCTCTTGGTTTCATTGGCATCTGAGTTTATTCTCCTCTTTTTCATTTCGCTTGCAGCTGTAGTTTCCTCTTCCCCTGTTTCTTGCTTGCACAGATCCATGAACTCAGTTTCTTTTCTATTTGTTGTCTATATGAGTTGGTGCTGGAAACTGAAAATTGATGTTGCTGGAAACTGGAAATTGATGCTGGAAACTGGAAATTGGGCAGCCTTTCATTATGAACTAATTTTGGGCAGCTTTTCATTTCTTAGTTTTATCATGTATTCATTTCTTATGAACTTTTTGAATGTTTGTTTTGATGGATATTGTGAACTTAGAAGCATACTGGAAACTGGACAGGTTTTGATTAAATGGAAATTATGAACTTGTATTTTGGGCATCCTTTCATTTCTTAGTTTTATCATCTTGTATTCATTTCTTATGAACTTTAGAATGTTTGTTTTGATGGAAATTGTGAACTTAGATGCATGCTAGAAATTGGACAACTTTTGATTAATGGAATATTGTTGTGTTAGCCTTTGATGGAATGGAATGATATAATGGCACAATGTTAGCATTATAATGTAAGAGCAGGTTGAAAATGCATGGTTTTGTTTTAGGCACAAACCGGCCGAACCAATCCGAACCAAACCGATTACAAGTGGTTTGGATTGGTTCGGTTTTCATTATAGTTTTAGGCTAATCCGAACCAAACCGGACTGTTATTTTCTTATTGATTCAGCTGTGGTTTGAGAATAAAACCAAAACCAATCCGGACCGTGCCCACGCCTAATATTAAGTAATGTTATACTCTAAATAGGGAACTTGTTTTGGGGATTAATTAAGAAGCTCATAGAATTGAGAGAAGATGGAGAAGAAAAGGAGAATGTATGAAAAAGAACTTGAAAATAAAAAATTATTTGAAATTGCTTTTACGTTTTTGTTTTCAGTTTATGTACCATTCCATTCCATTTTATTACCCTCTTATCCATCCCTCTTTCATCCCTTATTTCTCATTCTTTCATTTAAAATTTTCCCTTCTATCTTTCATATATAATTTTTTTTTAAATGAAATGTTTATCAAATAAGTCTAAGTGACAATGATGTAAAACAGATGGCGGAAGCAATTGAAGAGGAGCTGGAGCGACGCGCCCGCAATGACAAATTGGATAAGCTACAGATTTGGGCTCCGAGCTCAGAATTGGGCCCATGACCTGTCGAGGTTCTCTCATATTTCCTGGTGGATTCCAGAGTTACATGTTTTAGGATAAGGTTTTAGTCGACCAATTGTCACGCTGAGTCAGACAAAATGTGCCTAATGCAAGAATGATAATTATTCTTGTGACGCAATTCTTGAAGATACAACCAAATTATAGGAATCGATGTGCGTCATTGGAAAAGGAAGTGACAATTCACATAACACATAAAAGCTGCAGGACAATAATTAATTACACTAACAACTCCCTAAGGTTTCTTGTATTTTCACACAAAAAAAAACCCTTAGGTCTGAAAAATTACACGAGCACTCCCTGAGGTTACAGTTTGTCTTCACAAAACCCCTTTTTGTTGATTGTTTGTCCAAAAATTGATGATTTCATTGAAAAAAACTTATGCAAATGAAAAAATTAACCTCAATGAAGTATATGCAATCTAATCTGAAAGGCCAACTTTGTCATTTGGAGAATTTTTTTGGGTATAAAATCATCAATCTTTGGATGAAAATCAATGCAAAAGGAGTTTTGTGAAAACAATTTAAAACCTCAGGGGGTGTTCTTATAATTTCTAAAACCTCAAAGAGTTTTGTGAAAAAGCCGAAACGCTCAGGAGGTGTTCTTATAATTTCTAAATAACTCAAATTTGAACCTTAATTATAGGAACTCTATGTGGTACTAAGTCACTCATGTATCTTACCATTCAATGTATAAAGTGTAAATTTTTTTAGTAAATCATTATAAATAAATTATTATGGTGTCTTTAATCTTCTTTCATAAATTACTACATATTTTCTACACTCACACTGTCTGTCAGCTCGTTATATAATCAACTTAAATCAGTTAATTAACCCATCATGCAATGCATTTCCTTCCAATTTTTTGTGATAAAGTAATAGATAATTGACTAAATAAACATCCTCCAAAGTTTCAAGAAAAAATTTCAAGTTTTTCTTACACTTTCCGTGGTTTTTATTCAATTTTTATTGATATCGATAATATCCTGATATTTCCATCGAAGTTTCTGTGTTTTTGGACTACCAATATTTCCGAAACTATCAATATTTTCAACCTTGCTTTTGAGCAAAATTAGGCTACCTTTTTATATATTAAATTTAATAAAATGCTTATTATTAAAACCATTTTTTCTTTGTTTTTTCTTTTCTCAAAAGATGGGGTGGGTTCATAGAAACCTGTACACCCCAATTGGGAGAGGGGGAAGCTTTCACAAAGGAGAGGTCACATATACCTAAGCGCTCACACACTCATAACCACTTAATTAATGTAAAAAAGCAGCCATATTTGTGTAAAAATAATATCGCAATTTCTGTTATCTGTAAAAATGAAACTAGTTAAAGAACTAGCAATCCTAATCAGGGACGTACCCAATAAGGTAACTTGTTTTTTTTTTAAGCTAAATTAATACTGTAGCCTAAGTTCGAAACTATCAATATTTTCAACCTTGCTTTTGAGCAAAATTAGGCTACTTTTTTATATATTAAATTTAATAAAATGCTTATTATTAAAACCATTTTTTCTTTGTTTTTTCTTTTCTCAAAAGATGGGGTGGGTTCATAGAAACCTGTACACCCCAATTGGGAGAGGGGGAAGCTTTCACAAAGGAGAGGTCACATATACCTAAGCGCTCACACACTCATAACCACTTAATTAATGTAAAAAAGCAGCCATATTTGTGTAAAAATAATATCGCAATTTCTGTTATCTGTAAAAATGAAACTAGTTAAAGAACTAGCAATCCTAATCAGGGACGTACCCAATAAGGTAACTTGTTTTTTTTTTAAGCTAAATTAATACTGTAGCCTAAGTCATCTAAATAAATATTATTAACTATTCCCATTAGGATAAGGCTGCCCACCCAAATAAAATATTACTAATCCCACTAGGACTAGGTTGACCAAGCCAACAAATAAATAAAAAGAAGTAAACCCCACACCCTACGTGAAAAAACATTAGACTCTCACAAACATTCCCTCTCTCCTTTACCAAAAAAAGGAAAAAAATAAAAAAACGAATTCCTTCTATTGCATATGCTAGCGGCTAATTCCCGCTCCTCGACAAAAAGGAAAATTATGCATGTCCTCAGACTTAATTAAAGCACACTAAGGTAATTTTTCATTCTTCTTCTTCTTCTTTTCTTTTGAAATTTTGGGGATTATTTAGGGTATATGAAGTATCAATTGGGGATTTACAATTAAGGTTTATCAATTAGTTTTTTTATCTTGGTGTTCTTGCTTGCTTGTATGAATTGTCAATTGGGGATTTTAATTAGATATTTAACTATTTAAGTATGTAATGTTTTTATTGAAATTTTTGTTGGTCTATATGTTTACATCTTCTATATATTATCCAATAGGTTATACTTTATAATGTCGGTCAACATCGTAATGTTAAGAGATCAAGGACTATTCAAGATTTTTTTAAGAGAAACAATGATGAATCATCAACTAGCATGCCTTCGGGTCCTTCTCTGTCTCCTCCAATTTGTGAGGAGCAACCTCCTTCTCAACCTCAAAGAATTGAAGATGAAAACGTAAGAGTCGAGTCTCATCAAGAAGTTAATACCAATTCTCTCGAGCGTGATCCCGGATTACGTCCTCAAATAGACACATATCCACCTAATGAACGTGATAATGTTCGAAGAGCATATATTCTCTTAGGACCATGTCAACCACAATTAAAGGAATTTCCATCACACTTAGAAGGGAAACAAAAGCGTCGATTTGTTGGTAGTTGGTATAAGCAATACCATTGGCTTGAGTATAGTGTTCATAAAGACAAAGTGTTTTGCTTTCCATGCTTTCTTTTTGACATTGATCACTTACATAAGGCATTCACTGTAGAGGGATTTAGAAGTTGGAGAAGAGTTGGTGGAAAAGAGTGTGTTTTCCTTATTCATATAGGCAATATAAATTCACCACATCATTTTGCATAGAGGGATTTATAAGTTGGAGAAGAGTTGGTGGAAAAGAGTGTGTTTTCCTTATTCAAATAGGCAATATAAATTCACCACATCATTTTGCTATGCAAAAGTGGATGGATTTAAAAAACCCGTCTCACCATATTGTCAGAGTAGTGCAAACCCCACAAGAAGTTGCAAAAAACCGGTTGAGGCTTACAACCACAATGGAGGCGATTAGGTATTTAGCAAATCAAGGAATGGCTTTTAGAGGTGATGATGAATCTTATGACTCCTCTAATCGAGGCAATTTCATTGAGTTGGTGAAGGCTTTTGCAAGAATGAATGTAAACATTGAAAAAGTTGTGTTACAAAATGCTCCCTTGAATGCCCAATATATTTCAAATAAGATACAAAAGGAGATCCTAAGTATCTATTCTACCAAAGTGAGAAAAAGGATACGCGATGAAATTGGGGAAGATGGGAAATTTTGTATTCTTGTTGATGAAGCACTAGACGACTCTAAGAAGGAACAAATGGCTATTATCATAAGGTTTGTTGGTTGTGATGGGCATATTCAAGAAAGGTTTTTTGATATTGTGAGTGTTCATGATACTAACTCCTCAACTCTTAAAAGTGATATTTGTAAAGTTCTTGGCAAGCATAATCTTTTAGTGAGCAATATGCGTGGTCAAGGATATGATGGTGCTAGCAATATGCGTGGTGAATGGAGTGGCTTACAAGCATTATTTCTCAAAGATTGTCCATATGCATATTATATACACTGCTTTGCTCATCGTCTTCAATTAGCTTTAAATGGTGCAGCTAAAGAGGTAGGACTCGTTTGGAGATTTTTTTCAATGTTGAATAACATTGTGAATTTTGTTGGTGCTTCTGCCAAACGCCATTCTGAGTTAAAATTAACCCGACAAGCTGAAATTGAAGAATTACTAGCTGCTGGAAGACTTGGGACAGCTAAAGGGGCTAATCAAATTCGTTGTTTGCAACGACCTGGAAGTACTCGTTGGGGGTCACATTTTAATTCTATTAGGAGTTTGATTGATTTATTTGGTGCAACCAAGACACTTCTAACGGATATCAGTCATAATGGACCTACCTCACAATTTCGTGGCGAAGCAGAAGGTATTAAAATATCTATGTTATCTTTTGACTTTGTTTTTGCCTTGAAATTGTTGGACAAAACTATGAGATTCACTGATTTTCTTTGTCAAGAACTTCAAAGAAAATCTCAAGACATTGTAAAGGCTTTGAATTTGGTTGCAAGTACAAAAATGGAGCTTGATGAGTTGAGAAATAATGGTTGGAATGATTTTATACAGAGTGTGCAATCATTTTGTGAAGAACATGATATTAATATGCCTGATATGGGTGCCCGTCATACAATAGTGGGGGAGTTAAATACTAGATTCTGTTGGCTGCGCAAATCTCACGGCCTGGGGTTCCGGGGCGAGGGGATATGCGTTAACACGTGGCTTCCTTCTTTTGGATGCGGTGAGGTTGTGCGCGGGGGTGCCAGCACGGTCTACCGTGCGTCGAGATGGTGATGTAGATGAAAATGGTTAAGTGGTGCGCCTGTTTGGGTTCGACTTTTAATCAAACGATTGTGACCGAGAGAGGAACTGATCTCAGCCGTCAGGTTCACGGCCTGAGCTACAAGGCCGTTTAGTGGTGGTGTGGATGGTGGATTTTGGGCGTTGCTCAGTGAGCGACGGTTGTATGATATATGGGGTGAATGAATGAGTAACAGAGATGATGCTCCGGCGTCTTGAAAATCAAGGGTCGTATGATATATTGATGAACGGATTTTCCTTACAAACTAACACTACTCCTAGGAAAGCAAATAAAGATATTGAAAGTACATTACATGAAAATATAATTTGCTCCGTGGGAGGCTTTGGTTTGGTGTTTGAACCCTTTGAATGTAGCTTGAACTTGGTATTTATAGGAAGAGTTCTTGGAGGAGTAATCGAGGTTGAAAATCCGCATGGTGGAGCCTGATCAAAGCAAGTGGGTAGTCCAATCGACATTTGGGATCGTGAAGCATGGTGGTGTGACCCCATGAATCCTGGTAAATCTCGGCTGCCGCCCTGATCGTGGGTTCTACGCTTCTGGCCGTGGGGACGCATTTAATGCCCTTGTTTGGTGGTTAGTGATCTAACCTCAATTTGTAAGAATGTTTGTGAGCATGTTGGCGCCTAACCACTCTGATTTCTGTCACCAAATCCTGACTTTAGTCACTTCCCTTCTTCCCTCGTGCATTAAATGCCCTTTTGCGGCTAGTGGGTTTGCTAGTCAGAGGCGTTACTTCATTAAATGAAGCGTGGGACCCTGCTGCCATGTGACGATTTGACTCTTAATATCTTCGGCCGTGTCCCCTTCGTCCCTCGGCTTCGGCCTGTCGATATCGTGTTTGCAAGGCCGAGATGACTATGCCTTCGCAATTTTTCCTTTGTTTTGAGGAAGGCAAAAGTGATGCGTTTTGGATTGCGAACAGGTGCTGAGGCCGAGGGGGAAGACCCCTTTGATCAGTGTACGACCGTGACTTATCAGGCACAAACAGATTCCTGGATGGGACTGTGGAACTCCTTTCTCTTAGCTCAGCATTAGATCCTCGTGATGCTTTCAAGCGATTTAACATTGATGATATATGCACTCTTGCTGAGAAATTTTACCCTTTAGATTTCACTACAACTGAGTTGCATGCTTTAAATCAGCAATTGGGATTTTATAAGATTGATATGGATCGCATTCAAGCCTTCAAGAATATTGATTCCATCCCTATATTACTTGAGCGCTTAATTGAGACAAAATTAGCAGAAACATACTACTTGATTGACAGATTGATTCGTTTGGTGCTAACTCTTCCTGTGTCTACAGCAACAACAGAACGAGCATTTTCATGTATGAGACTTATTAAAAATTGACTTCAAAATAAGATAGGTGATGAGTTTCTTGCTAATTGTATGCTACTTCATATTGAAAGAGAATTAGCTGATAATATAGATAATGAATCAATAATTGGTGATTTTAATGCTGTGAAGACTCGAAGGGTGCAACTTATATAAGTGCTATTTAAGGGGTAAGGCTCATTATGTCCCCCCCATATATTTTTTTGTTATCAATGAAATTTACTTGTACCGTTGAGTTTTCAATATGTTTGTACGTAAGGTAAATTTAGCCCATGCCATTTTGAAATCCTGGGTCCGTCCCTGTTGATGGTACCTGGGGGTAGGGGTGGTGAGGATAGGGGTGGGTAGGGGCAGTTAACTTGTGAATTAACCTCATATTTTAATTTTAAATTGGATTTTAGATTTTTTTTAAGTTACTAGCTTTTTAGTTTTTTTTAGTTTTTGGTTCAAAGGTTTAGGAGTCTGAGAATGAGTTTGAAATTACATTCGACTATCCCAAGAAGTTCAATCAGCGAACCAAATGGGTGGTCTAGATGGTACCATATTAAATCAAATAAAAAAAAGAATGCATTTAATGTTAAATTGTAATTCTAAATTGTTAATAGGGGCAAAATGGTTATGAAAAAGGTGCATTTAATGTTGTCTCATATTCCTATGGTTTCCCATGGGAGGGGAAAATGAAACCCAAAAGGGGAGGAGGGTTTCATTTTCCCCACTATTTTCCCTTGTGCTAGGCAACCATTTCCCATACCAAGTCTTACAAAACATGGGAAATCTTCCCAAGTCCCATTTTCCATAACACCTCCTAAATGTAAAGACTCGAAATCTCCTAAATCATCCGAAACATGTGTTAATGTATGAATTTTGAGTATTTCTTTTGGCTTCCCTTGACAATTTTGTAATACGATTTTTATTGTTTTTATCAAGCTCAAGTGTAGATTAAGAATAGCTTCTCTAGGTGTTCTTAACTAACAACTATCCTATGGAGGTTCAAGCAAATTGACAAAGGTAAATTGTGCATTTTATCGCATTCCATTAAATTGATTTCATTAAATTGATTTCATAAAATGATATGACTAGTCATCTGTTTCTCGTATGACTAGTCATCCTTGCTCTATAGGATTTCCAGCTAGATAACCAACTTTTTTGCCCTATTCTCCATTCCCTCTCTGCTGCCATGTGTCGATTCTGACCTAAGGAATTTTGTGTAAAACCCTCTGTATTCCTCTTTTGGTAGCTGTGACTTTGGGAGGCAAGTTTTGGAAAGTTTCTTTGCAAGTTCTTCCTCTAGAGTAACCTTCATATTTTTAATCCTTGAGTTTTCCAAATTGTTTCTTTTTTAAAACTACATTTGAAAAATGAAAATATGCATCTAGCTAATTAAAACACTCTCTCATTTATATCTAGGTCAGATTCAAGACTGATTTCTTCAAGAGTATGGTTTGTTGAAGAAATTGATCATTTTCCTTTGAATCCAAATTTTGGTTTCTGTCTGAGTAAGAGCTTGCAAGTTAGTGGCATGGGATGAAAGAGCTGGAGAAGGAGCTGTCATTGCCATGAAGAACTGAGCTTCAAGCTTTGCTAAGTTGGAGAAGAAGATTGCACAAATGAGGTATAGCTCATCTTCCTAAATAGATCTAGGTTTTTCTTGAGCTTGCTTGTGTTCCTTTGTAAGAATTATTTTCTACTTAGTGGATTGCCTAGTCGGTTGTTGACCCCCAGTTTTTCTCAGTGATGGGTTTCTAGGTGAACAAATTTCTGGTTTGCATATCTTAATTTTCTAGGTTTGTGTTCTTGACAGTTGACTAGTCATCACATGTATTTCTGGGTTCGTGTTCTGGCGGTTGACTAGTCATCTTTTTCTGTTGTCTGATGCTTACTTGATTATGATGCCTTCACACACTTTCACCATAGTTGTTGCTAGTACAGAGGATGCCTAGATTGATGGGTCCTTCTGAGTACATAGGTTTTCACTAGTAATTCTCTAGGCTTGCAAGTACATATTGATATGCTTTGTGTATGTTCTTGGTTATGATTATTCATGTCTGACAGTTGACTAGTCATAAGAGTATTGGTCAAGGTCTAAAGTGTGTGAAGTTTGTTGTGGTTTTGTTTAAGTGTCATTTAATTTACCCCTCATCACCTAAATGCCAATTTCAACATGAACAAAAGATTAAACTAGTTGAACACCCCAAACATGATGTATAATACCCCAAAACAAGATGTGGAGTATCTTCACCTTCGCAGACACCACCAAATGCGAAATAAACTTCCAAAAAGGTCAAAATTTAATAAAAACAACATTTAATTAAGAGTTTACTTATTGATATAATCCACATATGCATGTGTTGTGTGTGTATTATGGATAAGTGGGTGTTCTAGAAGGCTTTTAATTATGGCCAACACTTTTAAAATATATTTGACATCATGTTAAAGTTGAGATACATCCCTCCTCGAAGTAGCTATAAATAGGAACCACTTCTTTAATATACAACCACTCAACTATAGTGGAAAGAAACAAGGAAAAAGGGGAAAAGTTAAGACGAAATTAGGGTTCTTTGTGGCTATAAAAGAGGGCCTTAGCTACCCAGAAAACCAACCCATTCTTCAGAGAGCAAGCTTCCTCTCTCACCTGCAAACCCAGTTTCAGAGCTTGACCAAGCTTTGTCAAGCAACCTGAAATTTACTCAAGCCACCCAATCCTCTTCCTCCGTGGTCTTCTTCTTTTCCTAAGATAAAAAACCTTCCTAATCTTCCTCTGCCCCAGTCTTAATTTCTGTCCTCTGTAAGAAACTCATGCTTTTCTCTCTCTCAAATTGCTAAACTTGTGAAAGCTTAGCTCCCATGCCACAAGCTTCTCATGCCAAGCCATTCCACTGCTAATTTGTCACGTTTATTTGGATGATTGGTGAAAGAATCCAAGGTGTTTTCTAAGATTGTCACTACTCCTTTCAAAACTCTCTTGGAGCCTGGTCTTTGAACTCAGAAACAGGGGCAACCTCCTCCGCTCATCCTTTACAGCAGCCCAAGCCCATTCGTCTGGCTGCTGGAAGAAAAAGACCCCAACACCAACAAATAAATAAAAAGAAGTAAACCCCACACCCTATGTGAAAAAACATTAGACTCTCACAGATACGTGAAAAAACAAAGAGATTGTATCACAGTTGAGCATTATTATAATATTGATATATTCAATGAGGTAATAGATTATCAGTTGGGGGAGTTAAATACTAGATTCCCAGATGGGACTGTGGAACTCCTTTCTCTTAGGTCAGCATTAGATCCTCGTGATGCTTTCAAGAGATTTAACATTGATGATATATGCACTCTTGCTGAGAAATTGTACCCTTTAGATTTCACTACAACTGAGTTGTATGCTTTAAATCAGCAATTGGGATTTTATAAGATTGATATGGATCACATTCAAGCCTTCAAGAATATTGATTCCATCCCTATATTACTTGAGCGCTTAATTGAGACAAAATTAGCAGAAACATACTACTTGATTGACAGATTGATTCGTTTGGTGCTAACTCTTCCTGTGTCTACAGCAACAACAGAACGAGCATTTTCATGTATGAGACTTATTAAAAATCGACTTCGGAATAAGATAGGTGATGAGTTTCTTGCTGATTGTATGCTACTTCAGAGTGAAAGAGAATTAGCTTATAATATAGATAATGAATCAATAATTGGTGATTTTAATGCTGTGAAGACTCGAAGGGTGCAACTTATATAAGTGTTATTTGAGGGGTAAGGCTCATTATGTCCCCCCTATGTATATTTTTGTTATCAATGAAATTTACTCGTACCGTTGAGTTTTCAATAGGTTTGTATGTAAGGTAAATTTAGCCCACGCCATTTTGAAATCCTGGGTCCGTCCCTGATCCTAATATCACAATTCCTAAGCATGCCATCCTCATGAGGCAATTGAAGGAGCATCATTAATTAGTTTGTGAGAGATTGATGGTACCTGGGGGTAGGGGTGGGTAGGGGCAGTTAACTTGTGAATTAACCTCATATTTTAATTTTAAATTGGATTTTAGATTTTTTTAAAGTTACTAGCTTTTTAGTTTTTATTAGTTTTTGGTTCAAAGGTTTAGGAGTCTGAGAATGAGTTTGAAATTACATTCGACTATCCCAAGAAGTTCAATCAGCGAACCAAATGGGTGGTCTAGATGGTACCATATTAAATCAAATAAAAAAAAGAATGCATTTAATGTTAAATTGTAATTCTAAATTGTTAATAGGGGCAAAATGGTTATGAAAAAGGTGCATTTAATGTTGTCTCATATTCCTATGGTTTCCCATAGGAGGGGAAAATGAAACCCAAAAGGGGAGGAGGGTTTCATTTTCCCCACTATTTTCCCTTGTGCTAGGCAACCATTTCCCATACCTAGTCTTACAAAACATGGGAAATCTTCCCAAGTCCCATTTTCCATAACACCTCCTAAATGTAAAGACTCGAAATCTCCTAAATCATCCGAAACATGTGTTAATGTATGAATTTTGAGTATTTCTTTTGGCTTCCCTTGACAATTTTGTAATACGATTTTTATTGTTTTTATCAAGCTCAAGTGTAGCCCTAGCAAGGAAATTTAGTTCATGACAAAAGAAAATATAAACAAGAGAATTATTGTCATAAAACCGATTTGGCAGATGGATTTGATCTTCGGAGTCTCCACAGGAACACCTTCGAAAGCTCCTCAAGTAGTGCAGCAGCAAATCCTTGGCTCTCTCTGATGTTTCTTTGGGT